GTCACTGGACATGGTTGTTTCCATGTCTTGGCTATTGTGAATAGTGCTGCTATGAACATAGGAGTGCATGTATCTTTTCGAATTAGAGTTTTGTCTGGGTATTAGCCCAGGAATGGGATTGCTAGATCATATGGCAACTCTATTTTTCTTTGCAATTTAATGACTTTACACTTAGTGGCACAGTTTCGGTTATGGATAAAAGTTGTTAACAAGGAATGAATGTATTAAAGACGTTAATGCATAATGATGTGCAAGGTTTTCTATGATTGGTGAGTGAAAAAAAGTTGCTGAATACTTTATAAGTTATGACCTCCTTTTGGCAAAAATGATCAGGAATGACACTATGAATCATGATTATGTCTGGGCTCATGTCGCATACTAGTTACTAGTTTTAAGATCCTGAGACACGATGCAAAAGATCACATCCCTGCTTTATAATTTACTGTAAAACTTTCGGTAACATAATCTCCTCCTCCTTAGCCTTACTGTTTTTTTTAAACCTGAATATCCAGGATGATAATTATTCTACTTCACAGGGAGGTTATAATTAAATAAAGAAATTAATTGTCAGACATAGTAGATAGACTACACATTGCAGCTGTATATATGTCTACAGATATACATATATCTATATTGTTCAAATTTATTTAAAAATGAACATGTATTAACTTTTTTTTAAAAAAATTAAAATAAATCTATAAGGTGTGCTAAACTTTTGGAATTGATTTTCCTATACCACATGTGACTGTTCTTTCCTGAAAATTTTGAATAAATATATAAATTTGAATAAATTTGAATGCTTATAGGAACCAACTATGGATTCCTGGGTCTAGTACTGGTTGCATTTCCACCCTGCTGCTACTGCCTGATAGAGATGCTTCTCCAGTTTTGGACTCCTGAGTAAAGCATGTTTTTTCATTTTGAGTACGATAATTAAAAAAATATTTTTTTCATCTTTACCTATTTCACCTATACATTTGGAGCACTATAATTTTAAATAACAAATGGAATAGATATTGTTTTCACATAAGGTATAAATACTCACTATTTATCAATTCTTGCTTCTGTCTTGTTGCTTTCTGTTTTCATTTTTGAGGGAGAAGAGACTTGGTAATGAGAACACTTTAATGTAGAAACCCTGAGTCCATGGTTTCCACCTACCTGCCTTTGGGGACACTGAAGATTCGTGCTGGGGGAAGCTGGGAAGCTCCTGGAAATGTGTTAGCAAACTTTGAGGGTTAAGGGAAAGCAAGATAATACTAGACTTCGAGTATCTACCCAGTGACAACATCCTTTGGTAGAGTGTGGTCTATGTATGAAGTACTCGAAGAGCAAAGAAGTCTTCTTTCCCTTAAAATATAATCAAATATTGTCCCCGAGCAATTGTGAGGAGGAGAATGGATGGAAGGTGAAAATTAAAAGGGGAAGACTATTGAGAGAGCTGAGGGAAGGACTTTGAATCACTGCAGATTTATAAAGATGTAGCTTTTTCCCCCTGTTTCATTCATTAGAAAATTTACATAAGGAAGTTTAATTTTGTGGGGAATTGAAGTAAATCAGTTTGCAACATCAAACTTTCTTCCCCTTAGCCTTCCTTAGTTTTAGGTCATCACAGATTAGCAGTTATTCTGGGTGCTGTATTATTCAGCCTTGTATCTGAGGCTTGGGAATCATTTCACACTTCAACAGAGCTTTAAACGTGGCATCAAGTTATCTCATAATTGACTTGTCTCCACTGTGTGTTTTAACACATGAAATTCCAGCCAAATTAAAGTACAACAGATGGGAAAAGTCACTTGGAAAGGAACACTAGTGAAGCAATTTCACTTCCTCTTGGAAAGCTAGGATTAATATACTGAATTCAAATAACTGAGGATTCATTTCAAATCCTTGGAGTTTGGAACATAGGTATGTGGACTGAAAATAGCCTGTAAGCAAATCTCCCCATTTCAGCTGGTTCCTTATCATGATCATCTTGTATCATCATCACCACCCCAGGTATCAAGCTCCTGCTTGGGCATCGCACTGCTCACTGCTTGTGAGAGCGACACACACTACTGGTGTCAGCCTGGTGCCCGTCAACCCTGTTCATGCACAGAAATAAAGCAAGAAGATCAGAGCTAGTCAGGACCGCTCTAAACAAGCCCCACACCCCAAAGCCCTCAAGGACATAGTCTTCTGCTGTAATGTAATGTCCCATTTAGGATATTGACCCTCATACAATCCACCGACCTTATTCAGATTTCTATAGTTTTACTTGTACTCAACTCTCCGTGTGTGTATTTAGTTCTATACAGTTTTATCTTCTGTGTAGATCTGTGTTTCCACTACCACAGCCAGGATGCTAGGCACTTTCAACACCATAAGGGTACCTGGTGTTGCCATTTTAAAATGAAACCAAGCTCCCCTGTCCAAATCCTGGCAACCATGAATTTGTCCTCCATTTCTAAAATGTTGTCATTCCTACAATGTTATATAAATGGAATCATACAGTATGTAACTTTTGGGGATTGTCTTTTTTCACTCAATATCATTCCTTGGAAATTTATCCAAGTTGTTGTGTGTTATTTGTTCCTTTTTATTCCTGAATAGTATAACCAAGGTGTATGTCTAGCAGCATTTATTTGTTTAATCATTCACCTGTTGAAGTGCATTTGGTCAGACTCCAATTTTTGGCTATTGTGAATAAAGCTACTGTGAACATTCATGTAAGTTTTTGGGTGAATATAAGTTTTCATTTCCTGGGATAAGTGCCCAAGAGTTCAGTTGCTGGATCATATGACAGTTGTATGCTTAGTTTTTTTGAGGAACGGCCAAATTGTTTGCCAAAGTGGCTGTACCATTTTATATTACCACCAGCAATACGTGAGTGATCTAGTTTCTTCTTATCCTCACCGGCATTTGGTGTCGTCAATATTTTTTATTTTAACCATTCTGAAACTATGAAGGATATCTTATTGTGGTTTTAATTTGCATTTCCCTGATCGTTAATGATGTTGAACAACTTTTGTTGTGTTTATTTGCCATCTCTTTGTCCTCTTCGGTGATGTCTCTTCATGTCATTTGCCCATTTTCTAATTTCTCCTGTTGAGTTTTGAGACTTATTTACATACTTTAAATACTAGTTCTTTGTCAGATATGTGGTTTGCAGATATTTTCTCCCAGTGTATAGTTTGACTTTTCATCTCTTCATATGATGCTTGGAGGAGAAAGTCTTTAATTTTGATTAGGCCCAATTTACCAGTTTTTCCATTTTATGCATTGTGATTTTGATGTCAGATACAAGAATTCTTTGCCAAAGCTCCCAAGGATTTTATTTCATGTTTTTTCTAAAAGTTTTATAGTTTTATGTTTCCAATTTAAATCTGTTATCCATTTTGAGTTAAAATTTGTTTGAGGCGAGAGTTTTAGGCTGAGGTTCTTTTATCTTTTTCTTTCTTTTTTTCTTCTTGTCTTTCTCCTCCTCTTCTCCTCCTCCTCCTTCTTGTTGCCTATGGATGTGCAGTTGCTCTGCTATCTTTCTTCCATTGAAAGCGTTTTGCATCTTGGTCAAAAATTAGTTAAGCAGGGCTTCCCTGCTGGCGCAGTGGTTGAGAGTTCGCCTGCCGATGCAGGGGACGCGGGTTCGTGGGTGCGTGCCCCGGTCCGGGAAGATCCCACATGCCGCAGAGCAGCTGGGCCCGTGAGCCATGGCCACTGAGCCTGCGCGTCCGGAGCCTGTGCTCCGCAACGGGAGACGCCACAGCAGTGAGAGGCCCGCGTACCACAAAAAGAAAAAAAGAAAAAAATTAGTTAAGCATACTTGTGTGGGTCTATTTCTGGGTTCTCTATTCCATTCCATTGATCTACTGTCTATCATGCTACCAATATTACATTGTTTTGATTATAATAGCTAGATAGTTAACCTTACTATTGGGTAGAGTAATTCCTCCTTTGTCAATATAGTTTCAGCTACCCTAGGGATTATGCCCTAGAGAATCTTGGGCCCCTGAGAGCAAAGATGCTTCCTCAACCAGGTACCAGCTAGCTGGGTTCCTCCTGTCAGATCCCTTGGTCTGCCTCAGTATCTTAGTGAAAAAGGGGAGTTACAGGCCTGGCAAGGAGTATAATGCTTTCTCTAGCTGCTTGTTTGTGGTGGGGCTCCCATTTGATCATTCTTGCCTGTGGTGTCAGCTTACCTGATGTTGTCAGAAGGATTCCCATTCTAACTGGGAGAAAATGAACCTACCTTGATTGACTTCTTTTGCTAGTTTGGTGATCAGAGAACAATGGGTCTGGGTAATCTTCCTTGTTGTGTGAGGAGAAGGAAGATAGCCTTGCTTCTGTGCTCTCCCTCCACCCCTTGGCATCCAAAACCAGTTCACCCTCTTACGACACTCCAGTTATCTCCTTGGTTGTCTCTGGCATCCTTTCCAGATTTTAGAGGTCTGCTTAGTGGGGAAGAGCAAGGGCAAGACTGTAAGCCAGGTTCTATCAAACAGATATTTTTTTAAAAACCCAACCAGATAAGCAACTGCTTATTTAAATAAAAAGGTACTGGTATATCAAGAGCACCACTTGGGGCTTCCCTGGTGGCGCAGTGGTTGGGAGTCTGCCTGCCGATGCAGGGGACACAGGTTCATGCCCCGGTCTGGGAGGATCCCACATGCCGCGGAGCGGCTGGGCCCGTGAGCCATGGCCGTTGAGCCTGCGTGTCCGGAGCCTGTGCTCCACAACGTGAGAGGCCCGCGTACCGCAAAAAAGGAAAAAAAAAAAAGAGCACCACTTGAACCTTTATGCAGAATGAAATGTAAATTTCAGAGCCTGGAGAACTTGAGCCATATCCCCAATGAACCAATGTTCTTGTCCTTTATTAAAATGCTTAAACTTGTTTTCTTTTCTTTTTTTCCTTTGACAAAAATAGAGTCTGGGCTAAATTCCAATTTGAATAAGTATACTGATCTTCCAAATTCCCTTGGCAGTGTAAATCACATGCAGTTTTCTTCATGTGCTGTCCTTAGCTAGTGGAACAAGACGGCTGTGCACACTGAGATGGATGCCGAGTTCTACTGAGAGCTGCCTAGAGATGAAACACTCTCCAATTAATTATCCCACCAGATTTGCAATAACGCCAAAGCCCACCAAGCTGTGTATTTGAATCAGCACTCTGTTTTTCTCTCTAATTGAAGCCCTCTTATTTTTCTTCTCATTGTTTTTGAATGTGGTTAATGCTTTTATGAAAATAAAGAGATCTGTTTGCTGAAAAAAAAAAATCATGTTGACATTTTCAAGTGCAACATTTGGATGAATGTATTAGCTCCTGCCAATGAATCTGTACACACCCCAGTTCTTTACCCTCCCATGTGATAGTTCTACTGCAGAAAGAGTCTCCACTTCTACTTCTCAACTGAACATCTTACAGTTAAATCTCTTTGCCCTTACTTCCTTCTTTAATAACAGCTGGCCCAGAGCTCTGACACCATACAGTATTTTGTATTTAGATGCCATTCCTTTTTTTCAAAATACAGAATCTTAAAAAATATAGGGTTAGAAAGGGTTAAAAATTCACAAGATGTCCAACTCAATCTTTTTAAGGAGGACAAATTTAAACTAAACAACTTACACTAGATTTAAGAACCTCCAGAGAAGTAAATTTCATGATAACTATTGCAGATACATTCTAATGTTGAATAGCTCTATTTTGAAATAAGTGTCTCCAAGTTGACTAGGTATTAAGCTGTTCTTCAAAGAAAAAAATAATTTGCACTAAAAGAAAATATTTAAGTATTTTACTATCCCTTATGCTAAATGAAAACTGAAATAAGTTTTTAGAGCAGTAGTTGTTAGAATTTTATGGGTTATAGACTTCTTTAATAATATGATGAAAGCTATAGATTTCATCAAAAGACAACATATATAATTGCAGGAGGCTCAGGGATCACCTAAAACCCCCCAGGTTAAGAATGCTTGCTCTGGAATGAGGTCATTGTTTTTTAAAAACTTCTAAAAGGGTCTCTTCTAAATTTCAGAATCCAACTATTTCAGGGAGTAGAAGCAAAAGTGAGCTTTGAGTGTATGAGTTATGGTTCTTTTGGTTATATATAACAGAAACAAACTCTGGTTATCTTAAGAAAAAATGTCATTGGAGAGATATTTGAATAACTCACAGATTTGAAGAAAAACCCAGACCAGAAAAGACAGAAAGTGAGGTAGCAGATACTAATATAATGGACAGTCCCTTTGAGATGCTCATGACCCAGCTTTAGCTCTTTTGTTGCTGCTAAAACACACACACACACACACACACACACACACACACACACACACACAAACACCAGTAGAGGGGATTCAGGGCAGGCAGAAACAAGAAATGTACATTGTAGGATCCACAGACTCTTAGGAAGATAGGAATGGAAACTATTGCTATCCCTTATTTTAACTGCCTTTGCTATTTTTATTATGGCCACAATTATTCTATTCTTATTAATTTATATCTATATACAAAATATCCATAGGAATTTTGAGGAACCAGGATACAAACACTGGTCAGCTTCCAAGAAGGACATACTTTCAAACAGTCACTTCAGTTATAGCCAAAGAGTATAATAGACAAGAAGAAATTCTGTTGAACCAGGTATCATGGAGATCAACTGAATAGCAAAGTCTTCCTGGGGTGCAAAATCAGACCTGATCAAGGATCTTTCCCACTGCTTGGTGGGGCCTTCACAATGTCTACCCTGAGGGATTTCAGAATTGCTATGAAGCAGTGATGGGTGTGTCTCCTGTTCTTCCATTTTCATTCATTGTTTATTCTCTGATCCACACTTGCATATAGTTGTATATTGGAGTTGCGTGGGGGAAAGGGGCAAAAATCAAATAAAGGGATGCTCTTCTAGACAAAGACATCAGTAAAAGATATATGCTGTTGTAAGTTTGGAACATTCTCTTTTTTTTTCTTTTGCGGTACGCGGGCCTCTCACTGCTGTGGCCTCTCCCGTTGTGGAGCACAGGCTCCGGACGCGCAGGCTCAGCGGCCATGGCCCACGGGCCCAGCCGCTCCGCGGCATGTGGGATCTTCCCGGACCGGGGCACAAACCCGTGTCCCCCGCATCGGCAGGCAGACTCCCAACCACTGCGCCACCAGGGAAGCCCAAAACATTCTCATTTTAATTGCATGAATATGAGCTCCCTGGTTGCTTTAGTGGTGTATAATTTAAGATCCTATTTGGAGAACGAAGCTGTCTCAACTAGCCTATAATACATGTCTTCTGTGAACGTTGCAAAATTCCATTGTTGACAACCTGCCATCTGGCTTTATCACAGTCTCTTAAGGGTGTAAATCTTTTTTTAAGCTCTGTAAACTGTATTTTTCAATATTTTCACTTGAAGGCCAATCTGATACATTTTTGAAAATGATCATAAGCATTGATATAGGCCCATTTTAACATCAGCCTAATAGCTCAAATAATGCACATTTATTCAGCTATAATCTACTGAGAGCCTACTCTGTACAGTTTTGTGCTATAATCTGTGGATAATTAAGATGCTTAATATATGACAATTATGATGTAGTTCTGGCACTCCAGGAGACTATAAACCATTAGATAACGGAGAAAAAGTCTTTATATAAAGTATTATAAATGATCCTAATGTGACAAGCTAGTTAAACAATAATGACACAGCTGAAGAAATAAAGCTTATCAGCCAAGTTTGAAGTATCCTTGGTACTGAAGGTCCAGGGTTATTAAAATGTGAGGATGATACATGAACTTCTCATAAGGAACTTTCACTTCCCTTCAGGAAATTTTTAAATCATATCAGTAAACCACACATAAAACTCTTTGGATTTTCTCCTGCTTTCTTCTTCTTTGTCTTTATGGATACAGAGATGACTAAAATGTTGATAAATGAAAAAGGAAGAGTAACTATAAGGAGTCTGTATGAATTGTAAATTGGAAAGAAGCATCTTTTGAATTCAAATTGACTATTCTAAAAACTGTTTTCATAGAGTGTAACTTTAAAAGTTTAATGACTTCAAATGATTTGCTGTGGAAAGGAAGGTCCTTATACAGCCTTTTATATTATTTGCCAAAGGTTGTTTTCCACACATCTTATTGTAGAATATGCAGACTTTGGGCGCATGCTACTTCAGAAGCAACTGAATTAAAAATTGGCTGAGTTTGTGGAGAAATACATGAAAACCTCAAAGGTCCGTGAGAAAAAAAACACATAAGAACAATTTCGTATTATATTATTAATCAGTGGAATAGTCAATGATGAGGTTGTATCTAATATAATTTTGGCCATTTGTACAAGTTTAATATTCTTGGTGAAAATGGCATGTAAATTTTTTCTCAAATTCATAAAATGTTCTAAAGATGATAACCAACTTAGCCCAATTTCACCCATGAGCTATAATCATGGTTTATATTATTTAACCATTTATATATTAACTGATAAGTCTTTACTATGTAACATATTAATTTGGAATAGTTTCCACTAAAGCAAACATCATTTTTTATGTTTTCTTTGTATCTGTCAAAATATATCAACCACCTACAGTGGAATGAAAGAGACATCCATATGCTATCTGAATTGGTGATTCTGAATCAACAGTTTGATAAACATTGAAATTAAAAACTGTCATTATATTATATAGCAGACGGGGAAGTGATTTACAGGTTAGTGAATTTTTATAATTACAAAATGTATTAGAAGTGTTGGGCTTATTTGAATAAAGTTAGAATTGTCTAAAGTTATAGGTTGAATATATATATATATACACACACATGTATATATATATATATACCATTCTCTCTCTCTCTCTCTCTCTCTCTCTCTCTCTCTCTATATATATATATAGTAGAGTGATTTATTATATAGGTTCATTTCAAAAACAAATCGTACTGTGTGGTGATACCACCATCTGTGCTCATACCCAAAACAGGGATGTTTAGCCTAAAGTTCCAAGCACTTGCAAAGCCTTCAGTGTAATGAAGCTCTTACATGAAAACACACCTGTGGTTGGAAACTATTTAATCTAAATTAGGATGAATAAAATCTGTTTTATAATTGATTAGACAAAAAATGTAACAACAGCTTGAAACAAAGTTCTTTCATAATGTTAATTTCAGAACTGTTCTGTGAAGGTCATTGAAAATTTTAATTAATATGGTATAAATAATCCCACCTGGGATATGACCCAAGCCAGGGGTCGAGGGTGGCAGCACTGTGTTTCTTCTCTGGGGTGCAGTCCATTACTGTGTGGCTCTTCTTGCCACTTCTCCCTCTATTTTCCCATTTTCAGGAGTCAGTGGACGCAAGGGCTTTTTTTTAATGAGACAGAGACACAAGGTAAATATCAGTTAACATATCAGAATATATGCAACATTTCACATGCAGAATATATCCAATATGTGCCAATAGTTTATATTAACAGGGGGCTCGAGACTAGAAGTCAATGTTTTATGTTTTTGGAAACTTGATTTCTAGAAGCCAGTTAAAAGTCTATTGAAGTTGTTAGCAATTTTCTGATCCCCTTAAATGAAGACTGTCCCTGGTTACATTTCAAAAAGTACTTTAATGGATGCTTTGATTTTGCAAATGGAAAAGCCACAATGCTATTCTTCAGAGGAGGTGTTGGAGACACTGAGGAATTACATTGCTCTGATAATGATGTTTCATTATCACCGGAATTGCACCCTGGGGATTATTACTATTGACTCAGAGGCAGGCCTGTGACTGCAGAAGAGGAAAACTGTTTTCTCTGCTTTCACAAGCGGTTCTGAGAAAGGAGGGGTTGACCTTGAAGTACTTGGGGGTGTTGTAAATAGGTAGATGGTAAGAAACAAAGGAGAAAGAAACTGAATGGTAAGCCATATACTTTGTCAAAGACAACAGCCTAAGGATCGTAGGAACGATGATATGCTTTATAGCTCTACCCTGGTTGACTCAACACTATGGAGAATATTTATATGGCTATGTATTCTAAGAGAGTTATTTGTTAACTATGATCCACAGACATTACTATCTTCACTGTCCCAGCAATCTTTACTATTTTTCTACATGAGGATGATCTGAGTGGGGAAAATGCCACCTTTAGGGAATATTTAGGAAACTACTATATTTAGAACTACTGCTATTTATTGGTTGAAACCAAACTATGTTAGACATCCCTCAATTTTTTAAAGTTACATGGA